GCCTCCGTGGCGTGCTCCGCAGTTGTTTTTATGTTTTTGTTAGTTTGTCCTGTCTTTAGTTATATCCCTGCAATTAGTTTCACCAGAGACGAATTGCTGGACATTCGGCAGTACATAACACCCAATATTTCACCGGTTTTCAACTATTCTGATGTTTTGCTGGACATTGTAGTTGGCGGAGCAGCAGCACTGATCAAACGCTTCAGGATGCGCAGACGGGGGAAGCGAGCCAGCGTGCTCGTGAAGCTCAGACAGAGCGGATTTCAAATGGCGCTGCCTAGCATCCATCTGGCGAACTTCCACTCTCTACCCAACAAAACGGACGAACTCCTTCTGCTCTATAAACAAGGATTTTTCACATTCTGATGCTCTGTGTTTCACGGAAACCTGGCTGAACGACGCCATTCCGGACAGTGCGCTACATATGCCGGGCTTTCAGCTGTTCAGAGCGGACCGTGACGCAGAATCAACGGGGAAATCGCACGGTGGTGGGACATGCTTTTACATCAATGAAAGGTTTAAAGAAGTTAAAGAAGAAAATTAAAGAAGATGTGCTGTCCCGATCTGGAAGCGCTCCTCATTAACTGTAAGCCTTTCTACTCGCCGCGGGAGTTTTGCTCGTTCATCACAACCTAATATCAGCACATATCACTAGTATAGTCAGCCATAGGCCAACTTTCATATGAACGATTTTCTTTTTTGTTTGTTCATTTGGTAGAAACCATATTTATGCATGAGGTTATGTATGCTTTAGTTCATAAGGCCGCATATGCACATGAATGATTTAGTTCAGTTTCAGAAGCCAGCAAGTTCATTTACAACAGTTGCAGCTCTGTTGCATGGTCTCAGTGGCTATATTCTCAAATTCAGCTTTTTAAATATATATATATATATATAAAACTATAAGAAGTAGTTCTTCTGAAAAATATTAATTGTTTACACTTTGAATAAAAGCAAAAAAAAAGAGATAGGAATATGCACTTCATTTAAATAGATTTGTTGATCTATATGGTGAAGCTGTTCCAATGTAGAGAATTCAAATTCAATTGCAATCTAAACAACAAGCCTTTAGAAGCTAATAAACAAATATTATTTTGAGTCTGTGTCCTATTCAAACACAGACAACAAAAGCAGCCTGCACACTGATGTGTATTCTTGTTAGATTCTTTTTTTATTTATTATGCGAATAAATCTTCTGCTCAAATTTCTAGGGCCGCATTTTGAAATGTGCTTTGAAGACCTTTGTTAGACATCTACCTTAAACAGTCTCATAATTTGCCTCCAATATCCACAGTGCATTTGCCTCTGATGCCACATGCCACTGAACCTGCACATAAAGAAGACAAACATTTCCTAAATACAATACAGTTAAACATTAATAATACTATACACTTGTGAAGTGTTGGCCAACAGTGTTATTTTAGTATTAATTATGTAGAATTATAGTATTTATTAACATTTTTTCATTTTTCATTTTTATTTTAATTCTAGTTTAATTTTGAGTATTTTTATGTGCTTGTTATTTATTTATTTATTTACTTACTTACTATTTAGCTTTAATTTATTTTTCAGTTCAGTTTTTTTTCCCAGATTTTTGCATTTATAGTCTGGAGAAGTTGACACCAGTTGCCGAAAGTTGTTGAGAGTCAGCAGATTTGAGTTGACAGATTTAATAGAAAATCACGTAGTGTATGACGGTCACAGATTTTTTTAGCTTCAAACTATGATATCATCTAGTTGGAGGATATTGAACATTTTTGATGTTTTGAGACGATTTTAAAACACTTTTGTTTTTATTTGTCACATGTCTCCTAGCAACAGGGCACGTGTTTCTGTGTGAGTTTCTTGTAATAAGAACTACTTGAAAGTCTGGTAGCTTGAGATCCTCTGTCGGCAAGTATATGATGTCTAATGTTTTAAAATCTGCAAAGATTTTAAAAGTCATGTAGTGTATTCCAGTCTTTAAAGTTATTTTAATTTCAGTTAGTTGTCAAGGTAACATTTCTAATTTTTGTTTACGTTTTAGCATTCAGCTCTTTCTTAACTAATTTTTAAAAGTTAACTACTTTGCAAGATAGTATTTTAGGAGCTTACCCAACACTGCTTGTGACTCTGCTCTGTTGGGAAAAAAAACATGGTTTGTTTAAATTAAGTATTTCGATTGTTGGCTTACGTATGTCTCGTCCTCTTGTTGGGAAGGTAGAGCCAAGAACTTAACAAGCTGCTTGACTGGTGTTCATCTGCAGGTTTGGCTCGCTCTGGTGGGCTAACAGCAGAGGCAATCTGACAGCCTGTTCTCTAAGAGTGGCCTTAAAGGTCCCATGGCATGAAAATTTCACTTTATGAGGTTTTTTAACATTAATATGAGTTCCCCTAGCCTGCCTATGGTCCCCCAGTGGCTAGAAATGGCGATAGGTGTAAACCGAGCCCTGGGTATCCTGCTTTGCCTTTGAGAAAATGAAAGCTCAGATGGCCCAATCTGGAATCTTCCCTTTATGTTGTCATACGGGGAAAGGTTACCTCCCCTTTCTCTCCTTTGCCCGCCCAGAGAATTTGACACCAAGGCTGAATTTCGGGACAGAGACTTCAGATACAGTACTAGGGACCACTTAGGCCTATATAAACGCATCCAAAAAGCAGCATGTCATGGGACCTTTAACATTGAATCGTTCTACGAAGAAGTCAAGATAAAATTATTAAAAAAAGAAAAATGCAGTAAAACATCCTTCCCCAAGACATACAGATCTCAAGGCAAACCGAAAGGATTCACGGTGTGTTACTCACTTGGGTCTTGTGTTCTCTCCTCTTTTCTCTGTTCTATGTGCCTGTGTATGATCGCAAGGACCTTGCGCTGGTTGGTGATGATGTTTGGTTCAGCTATAACCTCACTGAGACTCAAGTTGCTCTTTATGGCCACTGAGGCTGTGGCTCGAGCCACCATGGGCAACTGGTCTTGATAAGCCTTATCTATGAAGTCTTGCTCCACCCTCTGGATGGTCTGGATTCTACAGGAAGCATAAAACATGACAAATGAAGACAAGGTGTGAGATTAATTAGTCCTTAACCTTTGAGTTAAGCATATGTGGCTCATTATGAAATCATGGCTGCAAGCCAATGTGTGTATTTATATTACAAAGCATGTACATTGCAGGTGAAGGGGAAGTACATATCCTGCAAAACGTATCCTCCCTTTCATTTGAACATAATTTTATCTTTTGGAAATTAATTGTATCATGAAAAGTGGGCTTTATATACGAGAATGGAGAAAAACAAAATGTGAGTATTCGAACACATTGCCTAAAGTGCTATTTGGCTAATATTTGATTTACATTATCCGATGGGAATGTAAAATGCATAAAGTAAATATGAAAGCTCACCTTCTGTTGGTCAGAATGGTGTAAATCTCTTGCATAAGAAGCTCTGCAGCTCCAGGTTTACAGTGGATTGTGCCATCGATGACATCTTTCAACAGACTGATGTTTTGCTTCACAAAAAACGTTTAAACAACCAAAGGTGTATTACAGAGAAGATCTTTATTAAACAGCTAGATATTTATTTAATTGGCATAGTTTAAGAAATAAATATGCACAATAAACATATCAAGAAACCAAATTATTATTTCATGTCACTTTTATTATTTCTGCAGGGTATCAAACTCACTCTCTCAATCTGGGACCAGTTGGATAGTTTGGCAGCCAGTGAAGCTCCATTATCATAGGAGTGCATATGAAAATCCCTTGGGAAGTACCAGGAAAATATTTCCGCCACTATGTACCCATTGGAAAAGTCTCTTTAGTCAAAAAAGACAGCAAGGCACGTTTAAGCACATTTCATATTTAATAGTAATGCTTAAAATTGTGTTTATTTTTGAAAATGTATTTTTGATCCCAATTTGTCATATTTTTCATGAAACTAGAGGATCAATATTAACATTTTATTAAATAGCGAAATAGAGTCCTCTTTAAGAAACTGTAAATTCATATTTATTGTTATTGTACTTGATTAGAAAACTAAACTAACTAGCTATATATAGCACTTTTAAGCTTCTATAGCTACAAGTGCAAATGTATTAAGATCCCCTAAAAAATGGCTCAAGTTTATGGGGCTTCAGAAATGCTGTTATCTTCACTACTCACCTGCGCACGTTTTTTTGGGATAAACGATAAATCAAGACTTTGTAGCCATTTCAAAACCTCTCGTGGTAGACCAGCCTTCTTAGGGGACTGTGAATAGGCCATTTCTAACTATAGATAACGACAGAAACGAGGAGCAGCCTCAAATTTGTTTGACGAAGAGGACACATATCCTTTCTGTTCATTGTTTACAGTCGCATGGAAACAAGTTTGACGACACACGCTGGAGTTGATGTGCTGCCACCTGCTGGCAGATTATATGTTTGATTTGTAGAACATTTGATCTGGATGATTTTTTCCTTACTATGGAAGTCAATGGCTACCGTCAACTATTTTCAACTGGTTACAAACATTCATCTTGAGGGTGAGGAAATCATGACAGAATTTAAATTTTTGTGTGAACTATCCCTTTAAAGAGACAATGAGTCACTGGAGTAGCACTTGTTGTTTGTCATTTCTCCGATCACAGATGCAGACAGGGTTTTATGTTTACGCGGCGCGATGCAACGCAACCAAGGCGGGGCATAGAGGAGAAACAATAATGTACAGTAAGTAAAAAATAATGTGTTTTTTTTTACTTTAAACCGCATAAACACATTTCATTACACCAAATACACAAAATATTGTTCTTTTTAGCAGCATCATATGACCCCTTTAAGTCTAAAATGTTGCTGAAGTATATTTGATTTATTAAAGATAATCAAGATGGGCTACCAGTCACAAGTTTATTTATACACCAAGGACATCAATGGTAAATCAGAAATGGGAGACAATTATTATTAAATGGAAAAAGATCAAACAGATTGTATTATTTAAAATTATTAGTTATACTAATTCAAACTATACAATAATACTAAGATGGCTTGCCAGCAAACATAATGATGTTATCTATATTGTAGAAAGTTCTTCATAGCTTTGGGGAGGGGCAAATGTGATAGAAGATGTAGTCGGGAACGTCCCAAACTCTCCCTGATTTGCTGACGGCACAGTTGACGCAGAGAACGGGGTGTCGCTGTAAAAGGAAGAAAACTGATAAAGGCTGATGCAGTAAAACATGTAAAAGTCAAAATATCAGTGACTTTTGAGCCTATCATGCTGCTGCACATTTAGCTCACCTTCATAAATCAATAGGAATCCCTCTGTAAGGCTCCCAGGAGGAGCAACCTCTACGGGACGCTTATACTCCAGGTTGCATGCATTTACGTCTGCCCCAAATTCCAGCAGGAGCTTCACTATGCTTATACAGTCTTTCTGGGCTGCTGCATGAAGAGGAGTCTCCAAATTTGTACCTCTCTGCACATTTGCACCTGTGATGGTGAAAATTCAGTAACATAATAACACATAGCATAGGTTATTTTCCAAATATTAAGCATAACTTTAAGTGTGACCTACCTGTAGGAGTGGGTGATATATCAGTTAAAACAATAAATTGGTAGAAATGTAATAACCGGTATGGTGCCATGGTACAACAAATCATATTACGATACCTGTTTTTTTAAACGTAAATTAAAAACACTTATTTAGTCTGGCTTTTATGTAGTGTTTTACAGTTCTATGATTCTAGTATTAATGTTTATTTTATTTATTAACATCATTTTCATTTATTTCTACTGTATTTTATTTGATCAATATTTAATTTTTTGTTCCATTCTAACATTTTACTGTTTTATTATAAACTATTTTATTTTCATAACTTGTATTTTGTGTCAGTTGCTGATTTATGCCTGTAAAGCACTTTGAATTGCATTGGGTTTGCTGAAAGGTGAGTTTGGTTGAAATAAAGTTTGATTGATTGAACCCGAGTTGTGAACATGAATTTGCATTCTGTGTTGAGATAAAAAGTGTCATTTGAGTCGATTCTTTTTATGAACCGTTTTCACTCACGTTAACTGGTTTAAATCAGTCTGACACTGAATGAACTCACTGAATCCGTTAGAGCGGTTACTGAATCAACACTTAATGAACTCCCCCTTATTGTTACTTTCAGCGTTGTCCATCTCAAAATGAATCTACTTTTTATGTACTTTAGGCTTGTTTAACTTAACTGTAATACAGGCTGGTTGTGTCGAACTGACCCTCTGCTAAAGTTGAAAAATTAAAAGTTAGATTGTCATGAAACTGCTGTTTGTTTGTCCGCACTTGTCAGCACAGTTAAGATAGTGGTGTGAGTTTCGACTTGTTTACCTCCATCAAGCAGCTTGCGGGCACAAAAGAACTCCATACATCGACAAGCACTATAGAGAGGAGTGCCCATGTGAGGGATTTCATAGTCCACATCAACAGCCCACGCAATCAGTGCCTCCACACACTTACTGTGGCCTTTGAACGAGACCATAAAACCATGTCATATTAAAAACTTAGAGAGTCTATTAGCAAGTCAGCTAAGCAGGGCTAATTTGGATTTGTGTAGGACTATGGTACTTTAGTGCCAGTCTTATACCCACCCCTGCTGACTGTCTCATGGATGGGTGAAGGCTGGCATACAGCCAGGGCCTGTGGTCTGGCGTCAGTCTGCAAGAGCAGCTCTAGACATTCCAAACTGCCAGCTGAGCAGGAATTAAACAATGGAGTCACTCCATCTATAGTTGTCACATTAACCTGAACACACAGACATAGAATACAAGGCAAACGAACAGCATGTTTCATGAAATTATATGAAAAATGCAACAGCTGAACAGAAAGTTTTATCCCGTTTTATGGCTTAAGTGTTTACCAAACTATAAGGGTTTGCTGTAACTCATATATTAGAATAGACAAAATAATAAAAAAAACATAATAATAAAAAATATAATATAATATAATAATGACAAAATAAAAGATAAAATGATTATATAAAAAGAAAAAAAGAAAGATAAAATTTTTCTAGAATTAATTGAATAGATAAAATAAAATAAACAAATAGAATAATATAATACAGTATAATATAATAATGACAAAATAAATTAATATAATATAATATAATATAATATAATATAATATAATATAATATAATATAATATAATATAATATAATATAATAATGATAAAAGAAAAGAACTCAGTAACAGAAGCCTAGGCTGTTTATCAAGACCTGTGAAATGAAAGTGTTACCAATCAGCCCTGCAGAGACTAACGTTGGCTCCGGCATCTATCAGGGCTCTGGCACAGGCAACATGGCTCCCTATGCACGCCTCATGAAGAGGGCTAATGTGGTCTATTGTCAGCACATTCACGCTGTGGCCCTGAGGACAGATTAAGAGAAATTAATACTGCATTAGAATGTGCAGGATCTTTTTTATTCCAGATGGTGGCAGCAATGCCCTTCAATAGGTGCATGGTGGATTACAATGTGTATCACATTACTTATCCAGTAGAGTGCATGTGACTACAATATATAAATACTACACATATTAATACAATTATGTATTTCTTATCTTACAGTTCAACTTAAGGTCATTTAAATGAGAAATTACCTGTGCAATGAGGGTCTTGAGAGCCAGCAGTCGTCCTTGGCTGGCAGCATCATGAAGAGCAGAGCGGTCGGCCCAAGACCCTGGAGAAGAATAAAAACAGTGATTTGCCAAACAGGACATTTTGGAATTTTAAAATATGAATACCATCTTATACATATACATACATACAAACATACATGCATACAACCTAAGTATAGTGTAAATCTTTCTATTTTGCATTTTTCTAATTTATTAGAAAATATATGTTTTAAATGTTTGTTGAATTGTTTTAATAATAATGTTATACATTGAAATATATTTTATCTATTCAATTATGAATTCTATAGAAATATGGTGTATGTATGTATATATATATATATATATATATATATATATATATTCAAT